CGCCGCACCACGCGCTACGACATCGACATGACCAAGTGCATCTACTGCGGGTTCTGCCAGGAGGCCTGTCCTGTGGATGCCATCGTGGAGGTGAGTGGGGCCTGCAGGAGGGACTGCAGGGACTCCCCTGTCCTGCCACAGTGACCCCAAGGGTGACCTGTCCCATCCCGGCAGGGCCCCAACTTCGAGTTCTCGACGGAGACGCACGAGGAGCTGCTCTACAACAAGGAGAAGCTGCTCAACAACGGCGACAAGTGGGAGGCCGAGATTGCAGCCAACATCCAGGCTGATTACCTGTACCGGTGACGGCCCCACCCGTCCCCCAAATAAAGTGTTTGGGGGTTCTCCCCCTCTGCTGGCACTGTGGGTGCCAGCCCCTTCCCATAACTCTGTGTCTTTTCCTTTCCAGTGTTGGGGGCAGAGCCCCTGACCCCTGGGGGGACCCCACCTGGGTGTGTGATTGTGTTTTGGGGAGGAGGATGTGGGTCCTGGGGGTGCTGGCACCAGTGCTGGGGTAGGGAATGGTTTGCAGAGAAAGGTGTGGGAGGTGGAAGGGGGGGAGGTAAGGATGGAGGCACAGTGCTGGGGGGATTTAGGAATCTGGGAGGGTCATTTCCAGCTTCTGAGGGCAGCCAGGGTGGGATGGCCTGGTGATCCTGGCAAGAGGGGTTCACAGTGGTACTGGTGTGAGGGTCCCATTAGTGCCTGTGATCTGGGTAATCCCAGTAGAGGGTCCTGATGGCCCCAGTGGGGGAGCCTCTGGTGGTACTGGATGGGTGTCCCAGTGATGCTGGTGTGTGGGTACCAGCGTGGGGTGCCTGGCAAATCTGTGGTCCCACAGTGGTACCAGTGTGGGGGTCCCGATGATCCCAGCAGGGAGATCCCAGTGCTACGAGTTGTTAGGACTTGTCCCTCGAAGGTGAGAGTAACATGGGCAGATTAGGGTGAAAGGACTCTTAATGATTGGTGTTTATAAGTATATATGTGTAGGGTTTATTTAGGTGGCAATGGAAAGCAGGTTTGTGGGTGTTTTGGTCATTATTATCTACAGTAATACAGCTACATGAAAGCATAAAAAATGTTACTTTAAAGAAATGTCTTAAGAGAAAAGAGGAAAAAAGAACTGAAAGATAAGGGGAAAAAAAACAAATCACCCCTGACAAATCTTGTGACTTGGTTGTTGCAATAGTTGTCCCTTGGTCGAAGTGATGGTCTAGATCTGTCAGCGGTGGGGGAGGAAGCCCACAAAACACAAAGTCTGATGGGTTAAAATGCAGTCAGGCTCTGGGGGAATGCCCAGGTTTCAGTCCTCTGGTGAAAGGTCTCAGAAATGAGTCTGGGAACGCTTCGGGGCTCTTTGATGCTCAGTGATCTCCTTTCAGCTGCCTCTCACGGCGGCGCAGTTCAGCCTTCCTTCCTCCGGAGGGGAAGCATTAGAACTGAGCCAGTTGTGCAAGGGAGAGCCAGAGCGTGACGAGAAGGCCGATTGCGCCTTGCAGGATGCAGGCAGTGATAGTTCACCCCCTTTGTGTTATGCAGACTGGGCAGTAGCACCCCAAACCTCTTCTCTCCAGGGATGCCAATCTGGCCCCAGCAAAGCACCCCGGCTCCGGCACAAATGGGGGTTGTTTGGAGTAATTACTCACTGACAGTCCGGTCTCACACCGGTGCGGGCGTCCTGCTGATTGTCGCGGACGGTTTTCCGGCTCCGGGAAATGTTTCCCATTTCCGTCCTCCTCGGGGGTTGTTGCGGGGGTCCTGTCTCCGAGGGGCCGCTCCCCACGCGGTGCGCTGTGTCCCGGGGAACGGGTTTGCTGGGGGGCNTGCAGCTGGACTCAGCCTTCATCCGCAAGGACCCCTACGGGGTGGTGCTCATCATAGCGCCCTGGAACTACCCCATCCACCTCTTCCTGGTGCCCCTCATTGGGGCCATCGCTGCTGGTGAGCCCAAACTTCAGTCCCCTGGCCTGGAGGATCCCAGCAGTGCCAAGCACTGGTGAGGGCACTTCATCCACAGTGGGGCTGGCTGACACCATGTCACAGCTCCAACATCTTATCTGTCTTCCCCAGGGAACTGTGCCATCATCAAACCCTCTGAGGTGTCCAAGAAGACAGAAACACTTGTGGCAGAAGCGCTGCCCAGCTACCTGGACAAGGTGGGACACTCTACCCATCCCTGTGGCATGGTGGGGCACCCCTGCACACACAGGGCTGTGCTCTGAGCTGGCCTTACACACCAGCTCCGGTTTCATATACTGCCCAACTTCCTTCCTCCACGCCCAGCCAGTGTCCCAGCCTCCCAGAGTGCTACTGGTGGGGACAGATGGTGACAAGAGGGGGCCTTCCTCATTTCCTTGCAGGACTGCTTTGCTGTGGTGACCGGTGGTGTGCCAGAGACCACCAGGCTGCTGGAGAACAAGTTTGACTACATCTTCTTCACTGGTATGTCCCATGGGACAGAGCAGAGCCCTCCTGGATTTTGTATGAGGAGAAAGACGGGTTCCTTCCAGACATCCCTGGAGAAGAAGGCAGGGATTGGGTTGGAGGATCTGGGATGTGTATCTGAGGTCTGGTGGGACTCAGTGCCACATCCCAGAGCCGCACGATGGCTGATGGGATTCCCACCTCAATCCATGTTTTCCCTGCCCGCAGGCAGCCCCCCGGTGGGGCGAATTGTGATGACAGCCGCTGCCAAGCACCTGACACCGGTGACACTGGAGCTGGGGGGCAAGAACCCCTGCTATGTGTCCGACACCTGTGACGTGACCAACGTGGCGCGGCGCGTGGCCTGGGGCCGCTTCTTCAATGCGGGGCAGACCTGCATCGCGCCCGACTACCTGCTCTGCACCTTGGAGATGCAGGAGAAGCTGCTCCCAGCCCTGCAAAAGGCCATCATTGATTTCTATGGCCCCAACCCCCGGGAATCCCCGGATTTTGGCCGCATTGTGAGTGACAAGCAGTTCCAGCGGGTGCAGAGGCTGCTGTGCAGCGGACGCGTGGCCATCGGGGGACAGATGGACGAGGCCGGGCGCTACATTGGTGAGGCTTGGGGGTCACTCACATCTTGGTGAGCACATTGGGGGTTTTCAGGGTGTCTGCATACAGAGGGGAGGCTCTAGAGGGAAAAGAGTTTTAGGGGTGCTTGAAAGTGGGTCCTGAGGGGAGGTTTCATCTCCGACCTCTGTGCCTGGCTGATGCTATCCGGGTTTCCTCTCTGCAGCTCCCACGGTGCTGGCAGATGTGCTGCCCTCAGACCCTGCCATGCAGGAGGAGGTCTTTGGGCCCATCCTGCCCATCGTCGTCATCGCCAACATGGATGAAGCCATTGACTTCATCAACNAGGATCTGGCCCAGCCGGTAGCGGGGGATTCTTGGGATGGGACTCCTGGGAGGGTGCTGGTTTCTGCAGGATAGGGGGGATTCACATGGAGCAGCCCCAGAAGGGTCATGGCAGTGGGGCAGGGGCAACACCCATCCTGAGGGCCCCCCACACCCCAGGCAATGGGAGCCACCCTGGGGTGCTGGGGCAAAGGGCCCTTCCTGGGAGCAGGATGAGTGGAGTCTATTGGTCATGGAACCCTTGGGAAACAGGATGAGGGGTGTTAGTGGGGTCCCTGTGGGTCAGGGTAGTCATGGTAGCAGCATGGTGGGTGTCTATTGATCATGGAACCCTTGGGAAGCAGGATGAGGGGTGTCCGTGGGAGCCCCATGGATCAGGGTAGTCATGGAGCAGGATGAGGGGTGTCTGTGGGACCCCCATGGATCAGGGTGGTCATGGAGCAGGATGAAGGATGTCTGTGGGGTCCAAATGGGTCAAGGTTCATGGTGGTGGTGAGGTGGCCATGGGAGTTCCACCGTCCCAAGGGCGAGGTCCCATTCCATGGTATCCCATCCCAGACCTTGTCCCCAGTGCCAGCCCCACGGAGGCGGGGCCCAGTCCTTCCCGCCCCTGGCCGTGGGGCCCAGCCCCACAGCATTTAGGGACCCCCACCCTGAGCCTCAGCAGTGCCTGCCTGGCCTCGCGCTCCTCCAGGTTCCACACGAGCTCCCAGGTAAGCACTGCGGGGTCCCCAAAGCTGGCACTCCCTGCATGGCACCCCTGTGACACCCCCCATGCTGGTGGGGGCTGTGGGGCACAGGGGGTGTTCCCTCGAGGAAGGGTGGGTGGCTGGGCATGGAGAGGGAGAGGGTGACAGATGGGGGGCTGCAGCTCTGCCCCCCAGGTTTGGGGGTGTCTGGTCCCTGAGGTCCCCATGGGTGACCCTAAATCAGCAGGGCAGCCTGGGCAGGTCAGTGTCCAGAGGATGGCGATTATCCCGGGAATCCCAGGCATCTCCTAGGGCCTCTGGCAGCTGCTCTGGGCTGAGTCACCCCACAACCAGGACAGCCCCGAGCACCAAGCCGCTCTTCAAAGGTGCCGCGGGTGACTCCTCTTGGGTTCGAGCCGGCATCTCCAGCACTTCCATCCTGGCATAACCCACGCAGTGTCTGTCTCTCCCCAGGGCCACCACGCTCTCCATGGAGACTGGCAGCTCCTTCCAACAGCTTGGCATGCAGCAGCCCCTCGAGCCCCCCAAGCAGCAGCTCCTGGGCTATGGCAAGTGCAGCAGCACGGGCAGTGATCCTGGCAAAGATCCTGGGAAAGCTGCTGGGTGCAGTGGAAGCAGCGGGATCGGGAAGGGGCCAATGCCAATGGTCTGCAGCACTCCGTGGTGAGAGCAAGGGGCTGGGGGCAGGAGGGAGACAGGGAGGTGGGCAGGGGAAGCTGTGGCAGTGCCAGGGCAAAGGGGACCCCGGGTTAGTGCTGGGGGAAATGTCTGAGGTCTGTGAGCCACCATGTCCCAGCATGGCCCAAGGGAGAAGACAGGATCTGCAGGGAATGGTGCTGTGTTGGCTGCTCCCAGCAGCAATGGAGACCGGTGTGTGCAGACTCCTGTGCTGTCCCCAGGGAATCTGGGGTCCAGTTTGCTGCTGGAATGGGATAATATGGATTTGGGATGACATGAAGCTCTGAGGAGTTAGAATGGAGCTGGGTCCCCTCTAACACCCTCGTCCCTACAGTGGGAACCCCTACGCAGGGCTGGTGAGCCACCTGCGGGCATCCTGGCTCTCAGGGAAGACTCGGCCCATGGAATATCGTGTGGCACAGCTGGAGGCTCTGGGACGCTTCCTGGATGACAAGAAGCAGGAGATTCTGGAAGCCACTGAATTGGATATGGGCAAGGTAAGAGAGGCTGGGAACTGGGGGCTACCGGCATCACATCTTTCAAGTCCTTCATGCTCCCTTGTCTGGGTGTTGTATCCTTGTGAGGGTCTGGGCAGAGGGGTGTCTCTTCCTTGGGGTCCTGATTCCCCCTTGATGTGCTCCCAGGCTGGTGCATCTCTCAGTGCTGGATCTCTGCAGATCCAGGGATAGTGGAGGGACTGTGCTGTTGATCCCACCCCTGGTGCTCTGAAACCAGGCAAAGGCTCTGTTGGCCTCTCGGTGACTGTCTGAGGTGGAGGCGTTTCACACTCTGGTCTGCATCCTGGGGGTCCACGTGACCTCCACAAGGGTGACATCCTGGGGTGCTCCTTGCCAACCCGGCACGCCCAGGATTACTGGCATTGTGCAATGTGTTGGCACTGCACATTCCTGCCAGGGCCTCCAAGGGACTGGTTTCTCTGGCATGGTGGCATGGGCAGGGCTCTGGATATAGCTCGGGGTATTGTGGCATGCCAGGAGCTCCTGGATGATCTCCTGGAGATCCTCCTGATCTCCACACTATGGATAATTCTAGTGGTCACAGCTCATCATCTCTGGAAGTGCTGAAGGCCAGGTTGGATGGGGCTTGGAGCAACCTGGGCTAGTGGAAGGTGTCCCTGCCCATGATGGGGCAGAATTGGATGAGCTTCAAGGTCCCTTCCAACCCAAACCATTCCAGGATTCCATTATATAACCCTCACCTCTTTGTTCAGCATCAGTGAAGTGTCCATGCCCTCAGCAATGTCTTTCCCTGTCCTGCCATCTCCCAAGGCTCCTAATTGCCTTGTTTGTTGGAGGCGAGGCCTTCTCCTTCAGCCAGGCCTTGATAGGCATCAGTGCTCTGAGTGTGTCCATCATCTTTCCTAATTACTCCTAATTAGATCCGGTTGTCCAGTAATGAGCTGGTTATGCAGCCGGGCCCTCATAGCTAGATGGACACTTCACCTGCTGTTACGTAGCTGAGGTGGTGTCTCACCTCCAGTGGTGCCAGTTCCTCTCTGGTGCTGATGATTGGTGGCACTGGGATGACCTCAGACTTAATGTCCTATCTCACAACCTTTGTATCCCATCAAAATTCCTAATGAACCATCATCTTCCTTATCCTGGTGATGCCATCATCATCCTGGGTTGAGAATGGCCCCATTGCTTCACTCCATTACCTCACGTGCCTCCTGTGCTCTCGCCTTCAAGAGGGTTCTTGCAACTCCTGGCAGCTGCCTTTTGGGGACCTGAAGTTCTCTTGGTGGTAGAAGATCCTGGGAATCAGCAACCAGCCTTCCCAACCCCAAAGTGGTGTGGAGATGGGAAGAAGACTCCAATCCAGGGATGGTTTTGGGTTGGAGGAGTCCAAAATATGATGTCACAGCACAGGAGCTTTGCTCCCCCTGCTCCCCAGGTCATGAAGGGGTTCCACTGAGCCTGCTGGGCTATCCCTGGTGTCTTCACACTTCTCCTGCAAGGATGATATGGTCCCAATCTGTGCTCCGCAACTATCAAGAGGACCCACTTCTCCATCACAAGGGCTTTAATTAAGCTGTGGTTTTTATAACTTCCCTTTAGTCAAGGTCTTAAGACTGACTAAATTTAAGACTAAAAGTGCAGCTTTAGTCCACAGGCAGTGGAAGGGAGGTTAGGGCTTTGCTTCCTGCTTGAATATCCAAGTGGGAAGGATGCCTTCCACCAGGACCAGCTCTTCAGGAGCTTTGGTGACATTGCCTTGGCTCAGGATTCTGTTGCCAGTTCACAGTGCTGAGCTCGGGAATTTAGCAAATAGCATGAAAATTTTAAATTTTTGGGGTTTTTTTCCTTCTGGCCAAGTAACTATTTTCATAAAATTTCTGGGTCACTGATATTTCCTAGGAGTTACAGGAGGTGATGGAAACTTCTGCTGAAGAGATCCTCCTGCTGGTTCATGTTTGGAAGAGGGGAGAGATGCCTCCTGGGGTGATGGGATTGGTGTTGGGGTAATGGGGTCTGTGTTAGGGTGACAGGGTCAATGATGGGGTCAGTGATGTGGTGGCACTTCCATGATGTCTGTCCCCAGCCATCCTTTGAGGCTTTCTTCAGTGAGATCCTCCTCTGCAAGAATGAGCTCAATGTCACCCTCAACAACCTGTGCAACTGGATGAAGGATGAGCACGTGGACAAGAACCTGGTAAGAAGGAAGCTCTGGGGAAAGGGAAGTGGGGGAGAGGATTGCTGGTGAGGAAGGCAGTGCTGAGGTCATGTTCTTCCTCGAAGGTGATGCAGCTGGACTCAGCCTTCATCCGCAAGGACCCCTACGGGGTGGTGCTCATCATAGCGCCCTGGAACTACCCCATCCACCTCTTCCTGGTGCCC